ACATTTAGAGGAAAAGTCCGGTCATATCAGAATTCAAAATTCTAAAATTACTTTAAATATAAAATTAATCCATACTGTTCAACAAATAATAAGTGTTTTTAATTCAGAGTAATTTTCATGTGAATGTGTTTTACTGGAGGCATCCATGTTTGTCAAAGAACACTACTGCCACCTACTGGTTTGTGACGTCACGGTGCGGTATCGGCTGTTGATCAAGTCCCAGTGCTGTATCTGGTGTTTGTCACAAAGCGCCATTATCCAAGTCATCTTGAAAACATTCTTCTTCCAAATGTTGGCTACATATTTTTTCTCTGGCCAAAAGTTCGATGGCAAATCCTCCCTCTTCAAGTGGCAATCCAACAACGAACCCGTCCGTGTAGGATCAGGAAAAGTGAAATAACTCATTTGTTTTTCACTTTTACCCGATATATTAAAACATCCAGCTGCCATGCACGTGGGCATTGTCAGTTTCACTATAGCTCTGGTGAATTACAATGGAGAAGTCCTCTGGAAATGTTCAATAATTGTTGTTGATTGTAGATCAATAGATTTTGCTTGTAAAGCGGGGAAAATGGCGCTAGGCTAACCGCACCGTGACGTCACTGCCGGAAGATGTCAGGATTGAGGTGTTACTATATTTGGGAAAAAATGGCCGCTCCCTGACTCAGTGATCGAGATGAAAATTATTTTTTATTTTTTTTAGTGATTAATGCTAAATTCATTAAATCACTGTAAACGTATTATTTTTAGGTATAAATAATGATCCATTGATTATTCCTTGCTGACTGGACTTTTCGTTTAAGAACGTGTCCTCCATCTGTAGATCTGCAACAAACAGAATTTTAAAGGTTTTAAAGCAGCTCAAACATGCAGCTGTTCTCCTGAATGGTTTTTGCAGCCAAAGACAAACAACAGTCTTTTCCAGCAGCTGCTGTTCAGCGCAGACAGAAGTAAAAGAAGCAGACCTTCTGATAAGGAGGTGGGTGGAGCTAGGATTGGGTTGCTAAGTGAGGAGCGGAGCCGCAGATTGTGATGTCATCATGAGATCCAGACAAAAACTAAAGATTTAATTACTGAAGAAAAAAATTAAAAGATTTTCTTTCCCAAACTGAAGCAGAAAAAAAGAAAATGTGAATCTTTGGAATATTTGGTCCATTTAATCCTAAATGGCATCAAGCAGAAGAATCTGAGCAGAACTCTGTTCAATGTTTTCTTATTTTGTGGTAAAGAACAAACTAATGTTGTAAAAAGAAAAGCAAATATCTGAAAATATCTCCCATCACTCTGACATCAACTAACAGATATGATTAATAATAAAGTCATTTTATGCAGAGTTTATTTCCTTAAAGCTACAGTGTGTAACTTTTAGCGACATCTAGTGGTCAGACTGCAGCAACATGAACATCTCCCCCCCACCGCTTCTCCCCCCCAACAGTACGGCGAGCGTTACGGGACAAAATGTCTTCCACGACGTCCGCATCACCTACCTTCTCAAGTGATGAGGTTTGTTTACATAGATAATTTTACAGATAGTATTTCATTAGTCTATGTGTTCAGTACCGTCTCAGTTCATCTCTCTCAACTTGCCGTAGTTACTTTCGAGCGTAATGGGCGATCTCGCAATCGCTAGTTTGTAAGCTCTGCGCTGCCGTAGCGCAAAGATGTCTGCCTCCATGGCTGCGAGACCCGCTCCTATGTAATTATAAATAACGAATTCTAAGGCAACGCAAATATTAAGGTTAAGAGGCTGAGCTCATAGATGATGATAAATAACATAGTTATGTATAATATATTACATTTCTGACTGTATATCCCTGTAATTATTACACACTGTAGCTTTAAAGGTTTCTACAGTGGCGGTTCTAGACCAAATTTACCAGGGGGCCAGTAGGGGGCAGCGTGTTTTCATGCGGGAACAGAAAAGCATGAAATAAAAAACAGACCAAGAGATTTAAATATATTAAGAGAGCTGCATGAAGTGAAATTTCTATTCAATTAGGCTTAAATAAAATTCTATCTTATTAGGTTAATATACATTCAAAATGTAGGAATTTTACATAATTTTTTACTTAATTTAGGTTAAAATTACTGTTTTTTTGTTTTTGTTTTTATAAAATCTGAATTAGAACTCAAGAAAAACTAATAAATTTACCTGCAAAAATTATAGTTTTTTATTTATTTATTTATTTATTTTTTGAAAAACATTTCGCAAATGAAAACTGGGACGCTATCTCAACACCATTGAAGCTATCACCTTATTGTTTTAAAATAATTAGTAAAACAGATTTTTTTTAAGGAAAAAATGAAATAGACCCAAAGGACCAATCAGTAACCATGCCTGTTCCTGCTCATATTATCATTAGAATTTCTTTGAATATTATGTCTTCAGCACGGGGGCCATAATAGGGGCCAGGACATGATTTACAGGGGCACTGGGCCCCGTTGGCCCCTGTCTAGAACCGCCCATGGGTTTCTAACCGTTTCACTGTATTTTAAACAAAACCGATCAACTAATGAGCAGTGCAAGAGAATATGGTGAGATCCAATGATTCAATGATCCAATGATTCAGTGATCCAATGATTCAATAATCCGGTGATCCAATGATTCAGTGATCCAATGATTCAGTGATCCGATGATCCAATGGTTCAGTTATCCAATGGTTCAGTTATCCAATGATTCAATGAGCGGCTGATCCAATGATTCAGTGATCCAATGATCCAATGATCCTGTGATCCAAACAGAAGCATATGAACTGAAGTTCTGGTCAGTTATGGTTCCCTCAATAGAAATAGAAAGCCCCCTGAAACCACCAGCTGAGAACAGTTAAATGGATCTCCAGGCTGAGGGGTTCTGCTGCAGGGCATCCTGATGGTCAGTCAGGTTACCACCAGTGCAGAGCTTGCTCCCTGTCAGAGGTGGAGCATGCAGAGGGGAATGAGCCAAAGCAGCAGCAGGGTTAGTTCTGCTACTGCGGAACTAAACAGAAACTGAAACCCTGGGTGAGTCAGCTGACCCCCCCACCATCACTACATGTTGTAATTCTGGGTTTCATTCTGCTTCAAGCCAGAACCTCCAGATCTATTAGAACCAAACAGCTGGAACTCATCAGAGAGGACCGGTTCCGGTACTGATTAATAACCGGGCTTTAATTACCGCCTTGTTTTCTGATCTGATGAACACGGAAATGATGCTCCCTCCATGTTGATGTTAAAGGTTCTGCTAAAACATCAAAGAGGTTCGGTCCGAGAACAGAACAAAGGCTGGATATTTACATCAGAACCAGGAGGCAGAAATGCTCCAGAACCATCAGGAAACCGGATCTGATCCGGACCGGACCCCCCCTCCTCCTCCTTACCGGGGCCCTGCTCGCTCGGTGTCCCCGCAGCGTCTCGGCACCGCAGCACCAGCAGGAAGCGGACCGTCTCGCCCAGGTAGAGGTGGCTCCGCCGGGGCAAGCTGCGGTACCGGGCCGGGTCCGACAGGTCCGTGATGGGCACCGCCGGGAAATACATGAAGTATTCACACTGCGACTCCATCATCTGCACCATGGCGACGACCGGAGGCTGAGGGGAGCGGGACCAGGACCAGGAGTCAACGGACCTAGACCAGAACAATCAAACACCACAACTTCCGGGTACTTTCAAAGTAAGAGCTTGATCAGCAAAACAGAGAGGCTAATGGATGACTCAGCTTCGCCCCCTAGTGGCCATTTTAAAGCACAGCCGCTGATTCACCTAAAAGAGAGAAACGGTACAGTGAAAAAAATAATAATGCTACCGCATTGGGCATTTACTTAATCATATTTAGTTACTTTAACACTATTGTTTTATGTCCTACCCTGAAACAATTGTGTTACAGTAAATAAATATGATTAAGTAAATGCCAAAAACGGTTGCATTATTTTCTTCGGTGTGTTCACACCCTCACATATGTCCTTTTTTTTTTCTATTACAGATGAATCTGTCATTCTTTCATGTCAAAGACAACCAGTGGAAAAAATAAAATGAAATAAAATATGATTATTTTATTTATAAATGGGAAATGAATCAATCAAATCCAGTTTATGGTCTACTTATTTCTGCAGCATTTCATTCCAGACTTTGACTAGACCCTTCCAAAAAGCTGCCTTCCTCTGACCTTTGGATGAGATGTTGATGTTCTCTTGGAATATTTTTGTTTTGTCATGCTCTTCTGGATGGTTCTCTTCTGTTCCATGTTTTCTTTTTAATTT